TTCTCTCTCTCTCTCTCTCTCTCTCTCTCTCTCTCTCTCCTTGAAGTATTGATTTATTGTCGGTATCTTTTGTAGCAAAGCAACTTCTTTAACCTCCTTTGCTTGTTTCAGCTTTTTCCTAGCACTCCTCCTTAAGTGACACCGATCCATACTGTGGGTTTCATAAACAAATACAGTGGCGGTAAGATTCTTTTTTACTGTCTGTCAATTCTAACGGAAACTGTTGGCATCTGACCAATCATGCAGCAAGCCATTTGCATATTGCAACAGGAGTGTCTCAAAGTTTGTTGAGAAGTAACTGAAAAAGAATCATACATATTACAGTACATTTAAAAGCAAAAACCCTGGAAAAATATTTTAGCTTATGTACTTAAAATTCAAAAACAGCTAAAAAGAAACAAATTTTTAAGCACCGAAAAATAGAAGCTCTTTGAATACGGTATAGATACCCCACAATATATTTAAATATATTTACTTACAGTGCCTGAGTTGTAATATGATACTTGATTTACAACAACAAACTACATAAAAAATTACTTTTTTAAAAAAGGGGAAAAAACCCAGGAAAGCAACAAGAAAAAAAATCACTAATTAGATTCTGGATTATAGCAGTATTGATGAATCTATTATAAAGATTTTTCTGGGGGCCCCCAAATTGGCTGGGCCCCTGGGCTTGAGCCCCATGGGCCTTTGTGTTAATCCACCACTGAGTACAACTAGGTAACACTATGAACAACTATATACAAATATCTACAAGTAGCAAACAGAGAAGAAATCACTCACGAATCTGAGAGTGTGAATGGACAGGGGTTCTGACTCTCGCCATGCGGCAGTAAGAGAGAAGTGAAACAGTGTCGAACTGCATAGCCTGTTGTAGCCTCAGCTGCAAACATGAGGTGGACGTACAATGCATGCGCAGGTCAATGAACGCTGCTACAGAATCTTTTGGCTCCAGCGCATGGCTCACATGCACACCCACATTTGGAATCCATGTAGGGACCAGCACTCGAAGAAGAAGGTATATTACCTTGTTTTTTCCTCAATTCATGCTTCTGCTTTACCGAAGAAATGTATGCCATAGTAACTAGCTAGTAATGAACTCCACTTACTGCCATGCTAGCAGCAGTAAACTATTGATGCATAAAGAATATGAAGATTAAATTATGAAGAATTTCCAGTAAGAAACACTGCTGATAAGAGTTTACATTAGGGCTTGGAGGACTAGTTCCAAAGAAAATATTAAACTATCCAGAAATACTGCCTTCCTCTCTCTTCTGTCTTAGCTGTTCATTATTTTTTTTCTCACCTACCCATCTTTCCCCTTACTTCACTATTATCCTAGTCTGTACTTCAGGCCATATGTCTGCCTGAATAAATTGTTTCCCTTCCCACACACCTATTCTGCTAGCCCCCCCTACCTCCTCTCCATCCTTAAATGCTCATCTAGTTTTCATGCTACTAGTAGTGCCTTCTGTGTTTTGTAATACTGTAATACTGTGATCTTGGGGTCCATAGTGTTTGCCTGAAGTGCTTCAGAATACAATCCATGCCAGAGAAAAGCAGTGTAGAGTCTAGGATCACATTAGCAGCTGACAGCAAGATTTACATCAAGGGCAAAGATAACAGGGAAATCTAAAATGGTAAAGGAAAGAGAAGCTGGTTAAGGGGAAATTGAGAATGAACAGGTCATAGAGACAATGAGAATAAGCCCTATAGCAATGTAATGCGGTTTGATGGGGTCCAGTTTGTAAAGAGTAAATTAAAGGTATAAGTAGGATGTTTGGGTCTGGCCTGAGACTTTTTACAGCAGCTGGAGATGAGCAGGAATCTCAGTACATTCAGCTTCTCTCAAAAAGTTCAGATAAACACCCAGATATTATAGTGCTCATCCAAATCTTTCTGAATCTGAGAATCTGTTGAGGTCTTTGGATCCCTGAGAAGGCTGTGATCTCTTCTTATTGTAGACACTAGAAATGTAAAGGAGAGTCTCAGCTTTCATTTTAAAAGTCTGTTTCAAATGAAACTATAAAACTAGGTAAACTGATCACTAAGGTTGAAAGGATCAAACAATAGGTTCCACTTCTGCAGCAGAAGACTAAGGGGACCAAACAAAACACACACATACACACACTTTTTATGTCATGTAAAATGCATCCTTTATATCTGAGGCATATCTCAAAGAACCACTTGGCTCACCTTACCCATAATCTGGAAATTAGCATTGTGCACAGGGGGTTGACAGTGATGGATAGGAATTCATTGTGTTGTGGTTGGAGAGGCTTAGCAAAATTAAAATTTGCAGGTGTGATCAAAAAATGCTCAGGCTGTCTCTGTCTTGAGGTTTGCTCATCACTAATTATAATGTCAATGAGGATTTTAAAAGAGCCTTAAAGAGAGAAAATATAACTTTACCATGTAGAAAGTAAAAACAACTGGGAAACTTGGATTCTGATCCTCAGGGTGCTGAGGCTTCAGTGGGAGTTGAAGGCACTCAACACTACTCAGGATGGGGCTCTTTCATTTATACGTCAATGTAATAGTTCCTCTTTTAGCATTTTGTTTTCCTATGAGTGCTTGAGATATAAGCTATTTGTCTAGGCGGTTTTGACGAAGAATAGTTTTTTATCTTGTAGTCATTCACATATTATTTTTACTTTTAAAGAAAGAAGCGTGGAGTAATGGTGAACTGTTCATTGTTGCAAGATTGCATATTCCATCTATTTATATAACCTCTCTTCAATCTCATTGTGCTAACATAATCCCAGTCACCTCAGTAGAATTACACCATGGATGAATTTGACCCATAGTGTCCAAAATAGTAATGAACCGTTCTTTGTCACTTTACTTAAATACTGTCATATTAATCACTTGGGCATATAATGTCCCCAGTCTGTGTATGCAGCTTCCACTGGCAGTGGTCTGAGTTGAGTGTGTATAACCGATAGCATGATTAGCAGGAACAGAAGTTTTGTGTGTTCAGTACCTTTGAAAATCAGATTTTAATTTAAGTGCATAACTTCAGGCACCAAGTTTGGAAAAATGTCTCAATTTTTCATTAATGCCATTCTTCGTAAGGCAAAGTTACATTTTATGAACCCTACAGGTGCTATCACTGACCTAATTTTGTTTAATTATAATCACTATATAATTCACCAAAGGAAAAAATCATTTAAAAAAATTAGCACAAAACCAGTGTATGGCATACTAAAATCTCTCTGATTCCCATTAATAATAGGGACACTGATTGCAAATTACCGAATGTTAGGAATGAGCAAGGAGATGAACACACAATAAAAAAAAAGGCCCCAAGAATAATGCATCACAAAATATTCTTTTTTTATTTTGACAGTTGTCATTGATCAGAATTCTTAATGTGCTATAGAATAGTTTGTTAAAATAAGGAATTTTTAATAATACAAGACGTCTCTACAGAATCTGCTATTAAATCTTTGCTGAGGAGTGAGAATACCACACTGTATTTTGTGTGACTACTAAAGTCTATAGACCAGCAGAGGCCAGATTTGTGAAGTCCTACTAAAACTACTAAAAAATTTTAAAATAATTTATAGCAGCCCATTTTTTAGTAATGGACACCACAAATGTAAAGAACTTCCTTCCTGCAATCTGTCCTTGGGCACAACTCTCCTTTGATTTAGTTCGTGTTGTCTGAAAAAGGACTGTAAGATCAGTCCACAAAACAGGCTTGCCTCATTAAGTGGTAGGGTGACCAGACAGCAAGTGTGAAAAATCGGAACAGGGGGTGGGGGGTAATAGGTGCCTATGTAGGAAAAAGTTCCAAAAATCAGGACTGTCCCTATAAAATCGGGACATCTGGTCACCCTATTACGTGGTCAAGGCCCCAGTCCTATGAATACACATGAGTAACTTTAGGGCTTGTCTATACTGTGCCATAGGGCAGTCTACAGAGATATGAACTGCAGCACGCACCAAAATGTTGCACTCTAGCTGCTTGATGTGGATGGTGCTGGTGTGAACTAAAAGGTACCTAGTTTGTATTTATGTAGTTCTCTTCAAACAGGACTATGTTAGTGCGAACTAGATACCATTTAGTTTGCCCCAGCAGCATCCACATTGGGCAGCTAGAGCACAACATTCTGGTGTGCGTGGCAGCTCATGCCTCGGTAGTCCATACTGCAGCGTAGAGATAGCCTTACCTATGTGAGCAGTGCTATTGACTTTGAATATTAATGAATTAAAGATAGCAGACAAATCCTGCCTGCTTGTCTTTGTTATGAGGTACATCTCTACTCTGCAGCTGGGAGCATCGCTCCCAGCCTGGTTAGACAGATACGTGCTTACTCCGCTAGAGCCAATGAACTAAAAATAGTAGCATGGACGTTGTGGCACAGGCTAGTCATCTGAGCTTGGACCCAAGGGGACAGGCACACTTGTACTCAGTCACTTAGCCTGTGCCACTATTGTTAGCACGCTAGTTCAAACACAACTAGCGTGTATCTGTCTATGTTCCCATGTATCTGGGCACGTTCCCAGCTGCCATTTAGACATACTCTGACGACTTAATTAGACAATTATAAATGCTTCCTTGGTTTGTAGGTTTTATTTTTGAAATAATTGGAAAGTGATTTTAAAAATATGAAGGCATTTTATCAACTCAATAGAAATAGTTGATTTTTAAAAACATTAAGATGTTTTAAATTATCGTGGCCTGCACTACAAAGAGGTATCCATCCCATTCACATGATTTTTTTTTAATTGCATCTCACGTACAATCCACAATCCTTGTGTTTTAATTTCCACAGTGGGACATTGTACTTACATTAACATTTTGCAAATGTACCTTAGTTTGTTCTGTGCTCTGATGTTGAGTATATAGGCTTTCTGTTTATATCCAAACAGTAATTTCTCTTAAATACATAGTTTTTGCAGCATTTCTTTCTGTTGTCCCATCTATTTTTAACAAGACGGCAGCTTTTTCTGCATAGGTATTTTGCTGTGAGATGCAATTTGAACATGAATTGATTTGAACATGAGTTAATTTCTTACAATATCATTGTGCTAAAAACTCACAAACCCACCCATTCTGGTTTTAGGCATATGTAAAACATATGAAAAAACTAGTTAATTCATATTTGGCTTTAATCTAAAAGCAGCCTCTTTCCAGTTTCTTATCCCTTTCATCTCAAAAATAATGTTATCTATTTATTTCAGTTTTGAACCCTTCCAATATTAGGCTCTGAATGGACAGGGATGTACTTTTAGGTCATTTTGATGGTTTTTATTTGAGTGTTACAAATTGAGCATATGTAAAATATGCAGTATTTATGAATGATTAATAAAGGTTTAGCAGACACTGCAATGAACTTCCTACTGAATGCGGTATGTCATGGATTCAAATCATGCAGAGCTTAGTTGCACATTACCTGCTACAGCAATCTGCCAAAATCAGTAGATCCCAATTATGTATTTCTGCAGAAGTGTCTATGATGTAAATTCTCCTATGTTACATTTCCAGATTGGAAAGTTCAATTCTTCTCTTCCTTGAGCCTCTTCCTTCTTCTGTGAGTCTGTACTTTGGGGAGAATCTCAAGAAGATCAAGTTTGTATAATTTATTTCCTCACAAAAACGCTTTTAAAATCATTTGAAGTCATTGAGCCATAGTGTCCCCATCAGGGCAGGGAACTACATGAGTGTGCATTCCATTTGTATCCTAAACATTCTGTGATGGGAAGGCTCTTCCTTTCCAGATATTCCCGTGGAAGTACTATAGGATTTTCTCTTTCTCAGTCCAGCCAGGGTCTTGTGGAATCTGTAATGGCCAGTGCAGGTCAGGTTGCTAGGGGTTCTCCTAAAGGCTGCTGCCTCTGGAAGCTCCCTTCGGGAGATATCAAAGCATTGAGAGTGAAAGCAAGTAAGTTTTAAACATAATTTTACCCTCAAAAGTTCCCTGCATTTGGGAGACAGACAGATGTGTCTACTAATGGGTTTGTTTGTTTTTTTTTGGGGGGGGGATGGATTAGAAATTCCCACCATTGGTATTGCCAGTGCAGCTCCAGTTGATAGTAACGGTAGAAGTACACATGTAGGCAAGGTTTCCATGGCCCCTGGTTTTTAAGAACTATATTTTGTAACCCTGCTCAGAGCATATGTAAACGTTACTTTGTTTAAAAGAGCAGCAGCTGCAGTAGTAGCTTTGTCTACATTAGGGTTCCCACCATTGCTACCAATGGTGGAACTGCACTGGTGGTAGTAAAGGGGGTGGAAACTTTACATAAAACCTCCCTAGGATACATAGACAAGGACTGTGTGTGTGTACGTTCACACTAATATGACAGGAAAGATCAGAAGTAATTAGGGAAAGGTTGTCCCACTATTTGCAAAAAACATTTACCAGATATCTTAGAAATTTGTTGTATCTTATAAAGCTACAGTACAAATCCATTTTCTTTATCTATGAATAGCCACTAAAGAAAATAGATTAAATTCAGTTTGTCTTACTCTTGAACTAGTAGTGCTGAAAAAATATTAGGTGTTTTCCTGTTGTCTGTCATGAAATAGTGTCACAGCTGTGCAATACTTGAATTAATTCCCTTGTGCATATTATAACGCTGGTTAAATAGTGGTGATCAGGGAAATAGTTGCTGCTAATTTGTTTGTTCACCTGCTCCAATTTTGTATGTTTACATAGCATAAAATAATTTCACCTACTGCTTTGCTGAGCCTAGTTACTGTGCTGCTTTTCCCCTACTCTGGATCAGACAGGAGACATATGTGTTTATTGATGGGATTAGCTTCACCACCACCACCTGATATGGGAAACAGAATGCGTGGGATTTCTGCTGGTGTCAACTGTGAAGGCTCATCACTCTTTCATGGCTTGGCACTAGCCTCCATATAGGGGTGCATGTGTGAGTGAGGAAGGGCTTTAGTCTCTTTAAAATGGGTATGACGATATTAATCTCTTTGTCTCTAGGTTTCCACTCCTCCTCCTCTTCCCTTGCAGAGACACTTTAAAACCACTCACTGCCTTTATTTGGCAACTACAATGAACACTCTTGGGGAGTTCATTGGTGTACACCCAAATGAAGAATGCTTTCTGAGTCTGTTTGAAAACAACTTTGATTCCAATCAGTTTTTGAGTGCCTGAGAGGCAAAAATAATTTAAAGCAAAGTTTAACATAGCCTGGCTCCAACAATGCCAAGTCCCCTGGGGGCAGGAGATAAAGTAGAGGGATGTGTTTTTAAGACATGAATGTGCATTCATCTGAAAATGCAGGGGCTCTGCAAAAGTTAATTCAGTCTTTAAAAATGTTCATGTTTCAAAAATAATCACTGTGTCTGAACTATGTGTGGGGCAGCACAGAGGAGCGGGAGTGAAGAGAGATTCATTAACTGACACAAAACTTTCTCCACTTTCAATTGGCTCTTTACAAAAACTTTTCCTTCACCCACCACTGTTTTTTCCAGGGCTCGCCTTGTTTCCTATTGATCCAGACAGGTGCAGAAACTCTGTCTGTGACCTGCTAATACATTGTAATTTGTGGCATGGAAGATTGCGAATCTTCTGTAGTTAATATTATTCGTAGGTGAGTAGTTTCACTCAAGTCTTCAGACCAGACTGGCTATTTAACTGAGAAGTAATATAAATTGCCAGAGGTTTCGGCACCTAGTAAATTCACTGTGAAGTAATTCCAGAAAGGTGTCTAATGCCTTAAGAACAACTGTGTTCAGTTGTGTTTGTATACGTGGGCGTTTTAGTATACAAATGTCAATATGTGCCATATCTTAAATATGCACTATGGATAGTGCATTCTGTGAAGCTTTTTTACAGAAAAGCATGTAGCTAACTGTCCTAACAAAGGTTTTAATTATACCTGAGAATGTCTATTGTGCCACCTCAAAACAGGAATTGTGCCTCTTTAATGAATGTTGTACACAGGCGTGTTACATTTGTAAGAATATAGGCATTTCAGTAAATTCAAACAAATGACCTATTTAATACAGTTTAATTTTTTTTAATTATGTACTGTATTGTAAGCAATCTACTTACAAAACTAACACATCTCTTACTCTTTAAAACAGAGAATGAAAAGCAGGTTTAGATAGACGTTAGCCCTAATGTAATTTGTATCTTCCTGTGTATTTCATCAAGCTGCAGAACTACTTTATGTAACCATACTTAAAAGGACAATTTTGATATGAAATGTAGTGAGTTTCAAAAAGGGAGTTAAAGGTAGTTGTAGGTGCTTCATCTGCCTCTGTCTCTCTGCCAGTTTTTGTGGTTTTATAATCACATCCTCCTGTTTTTAAAAATGTTTGGGCTTCCCTTTAATCTGTGACAGACCCACTCAAAAACCAGGAGAAACCTACTAAAAAGAGGAGACAGTGAAACTGACTATATACAGTGCTATCAATTTCAAATTAAGTGGGGAAAAAAGAGGATACTTTTCTTTAATCTTTTATTATAATTAATTGAGGTATTACTTACAGCAGTAAATAAACAAGTTTCATCCAGAATGTGATTAAGTTAACAGTGTCCCTTTATTTTCCATTGATCATTTCCAGCATGAAAAACTAGAGGAGTAGGTAAAATCATCTCCGGATGATGTACTTTTATTTTACAATAAAAAAAAAGACATGAAACAGGATTTGGCCAATTGTGTATTTGCAATGTGTGCACCGAGAGTGGTTTCATTTTCCCAGATAAGGAAACAGAGAAAGTCCTAATGTGAAGTCTGAAGTACGTGGTATTCTGTCTGATCATTAAGGCTATGATTTAGTCATGGGTATTTTTAGTAAAAGTCATGGACAGGTCACGGGCAATAAACAAAAATTCATGGCCCTTGACCTATCCATGATTTATAGTAAAAATACCTGTGTCTAAATCTTGGAGGAGGGGGGTGCCTGGGGCCAGCAGCACCAGCTGCTGGGGACCAATGCTGTTCCAGTTGGCTGCCCAGGGACTACTGCCAGGGCCAGTGGACCACGGCTGCTCTGGCGAGCCACCCGGGGATGGCTGACTGGGGCCATGGACCGTGGATGCTCCAGGGGCTGCCCAAGCAGTGGCTGGTATGGCTGTCCAGGGGGGCTGCTCCAGCAGTGGTTGGTATGGTCGTCCCTGGGGCCACCTGAGCCAGACTTACGTTGCTCAACTTTATGCATTGAAATCGATGGGACTACTCACAGAGTTTAGTTAAGCATATATGAAAGTCTGTTCAGGATCGGGCTTTACATTTTTTCAGTAAATATTGATTGTTCTTCAAAATGTAAGGACACAACGTTGACATTGATAACAGTTCAAAATAAGGTAACCATAAGCTTCACAATACTTCATTTTTAATCCTCATGCACTGAAAAAAGTAAACCCCTGCACGTGTCTTCTCTTGTGCCACCTTTGATATAGCTAAAATCTTGAGCCTGCAATTTGTTTTGTGCAGCTGGATCTCTGGCCCTGTTGACTTCAGTGAGATTCCATGGCAGTGGATGTGTTTACCTGCATGAATCAGCTTTCAGGTTTGGGGCCTAAAGTGGATATTTACACTCCAGTTGTGCAAACAGTTATGCGTGTGCTTTATTTTATACACATGAGTAGTCTCAGTGAAGTCAAAGGGTCTACTCAGATGCGTGAAGTGCAGCCAGGGTTACTCTTTGCAGTATCAGACCCTTGTGCTGTCCTCTCACCTTTGATGCTGTGTTGCATTTATGAAAATCACTCTGGAACTCGTGATGCTTTAGGAAACATTTAACTTTCCCTCACAGTAAATTTCAATTAAGAAAGAATTTTCTTTTGGAGGGAGTTTTTGGAAAATTAAATAAATTATTGCCTTTATCAGTTCAGATCTCACCTTTCCAAGCCTGACTATAAGACCATGTACAATCCCTATCTCTACCCTCACCAACTTTTCCCGAAGACCCCACTACCACAGAGTGGTTACTAGTGCTGTACGTCGGTGAAACAAGGAGACTCTGCTTAGCATTCTCCAGTAATATTTGTTGAGTTGCTAACATGGGGCGGCTTATTTCACAACTCATTGAGAGGCATATTCCTCACCTCAGTCAAGGAACACCTCATAAACTAGAGAAAGTGCCTGCCCTCTCTTCTTTTAGACTCTAGCATGTATAGTTACTTTTGCGGTATATACAGCTCTTTCTGGCTGACTTCAAAGACTGAAGCCAGGGAAAGAGCTGTCCGAGACAACAGACCCTAAAGTAAGGGAGTGGTGTAAGTTCCCTGCCTTACACGGGTGCAGTATATCTATGTTGGGAGTTTGCACTGGTGTAGCTACCTGGTGTAAGCACACTGGTGCAAAAATCCCTTATGCAGACCAGCTGTTAGACTCTCCACATCTGCTGCAATAAATAACAGAAGCTCACAAAGTCCTAGAGGTTCAATAAGTTATCTTGACTGGCAAAAAAAACCTCTGTTGTTCAATTCGCTCTGGAGGTGCGTAGGGGGATATTATAACTGAGGGCATTTAAGTCTAAAATGAAGAATTTCAAAGTGATGAGGTATATAGTATGCCCTGTATCCTTATCACCAGACTCATGTGAAGGGGGGTCTTACAGCTTTTGTTAGGAAATGAAAGTGACGCTGACTATTCAGTAGTTTACATTGTGCTCTAAAACGTAACAAAGGTACCATCTACTTCCTTCAGGCTGAGCCTGATTTACCTGCATATTCTGTTATAACACACAGATGTAAGTTCTAATTTTTTGAGGAAACACGATGCTCTTTTACCTGTTGCAATGTAATTGGATAATGCATGTATAAATGACTTGTTTAGCCTGCCAATGAATGTTGCTAATGCCTTACCACAAAAAAAAAGCATATTTTTTGTTTTTATTTTTCCTCAGAGGCAAATCCAAACAATGCTAGATTTGGGAAACTGTTTACTGAAAAGCATTTTCTAATAGATCTCTGAAGAAGTGCAATTGTATAATTATTATTGTTCAGTGCATACAGTTCATTGTCTCTTCATCACTCTGTACACTGCTGCTATTAGTGCTTGTTCTAATAAATCTCAATGTACACTGTTTAAGCTGCTGTAACTTCTGTGGGTTGATTTGTTAGTTCAAGATCGTTTGAGTATGATTCATAAAACCAAAAATCCTACACATATCTTTACACAGTTGTGTGAATTTATTGCTGAATGCTGGCGTGCCGTTTGGAGGATACATTGTACAGATGGTTATACACCAGATTAAAAAATAATTCATTTTTAGAGTTACGGAGTTGTGACAGGCATAACAGCCCTTGCCCCAGGAGCACTCTTCTTGATGACTTCCGAGTCTGTACTAACTTTTCCCACTGCAGAATAACTTTCATATAGGAACTCTATCCCCAGCATGGCCTTTCTGAGGCTTGCACTTTCAATTTGGCAGAGTCAAACAACTGCAGCCTAAAGTAGCTGATTCGCAGTTGGCAATTGCTGGCTATATCTTTTTGTTACGGTTGATAAGTACCTGTTTGTGTATCGTCCCCTTCCCCCCCCCTTGTCTTTTTTTATGGATAAGGGGATTCTCAGAGCATGTGTCACAAGTTTTATGGGAGGATGTAGGAAAGTTGGCATAAAAACGTATTAGGTTTTGGCTTAGTTCTGCAGAAGTAATCAAATGTACAGAATGGAATTGACCCATTACACTTAATTTTGGAATTGCACAATCCTTAAAAATTGATCTAATTTTTAATAATGCAATTAAAACCGAGTCATAGTTTGTAGAAAACAAAGAATTTGTTCCAGAGGAGGATTTAAGATATTTGAGCGTTTTTTGGCATTGTGCAATGTACAGGAGTTCAAGCAGGTTCCTGGCGTGCTGCCCAGATGGAAACACCAGAGAATGACAGTTGCTTTTCCCAAGCTTGGCAATGCTGTTGCTATGCTGCAGAGCACGTATCTAAGCTCATCCAAATATAGGCCTCATGGTTGTTTGTGTACGGAGAGTCTGTTCTCTGTTAAATCAATTACTTCAGTGGAGTTACTCAAGAAGTGCAGTGGTTTTGCTGAGATCCCAGAATCTGGGCCTGAACGTCTTATAGCATCCGAAGAAGTGGGCTGTAGTCCACGAAAGCTTATGCTCTAATAAATTTGTTAGTCTCTAAGGTGCCACAAGTACTCCTGTTCTTTTTGCGGATACAGACTAACACGGCTGCTACTCTGAAACCTGTCATTATAGCAAAATGTATCCCAACTCAGTGACCACTACTCAGCAAAAGTGTGCATAAGCTAAATGTAAAAAGTCACCTGTCATGTAGATTTAATTGACTGGACTTGGGGACTAGATTAGGGCAAGGAAGGACCTTGAAGCAGTGCCATTAAACTGCCTCTGTACTCTTGTAACATGAAACCTAATTCAGCATCAGGGCTACTTACTACCTAAGCCTGGAAGTTAATTTTATTTTTAAAATGTAACGATGGTGCCTCCTTTAACCACAGACATAGGCACTGTGGTGCGATGAAGCAAGACAGGGCAGGGAAAGAATGGCAGGTTTCATCCCAAGCCATCTGCAGTAGCTGCCCGCAGGAAACGGTTAGATGTTATAACGCTGATTGCATACTTGCAATGTGTTCTGGTACACAGGAATTTTTGGATTGCTTGGGAGAGTAACCCAACACACCCAGACAAGGATTTGTACCTTAGATCCCTGTTACTTTTGTAACATTTGTTTAATTTTGTAAACTTTAAAAGTAGCCATCATAGTCATAGTATATGCTTAACCACTGTCAGTACTATGTCCTCCTGCAAAAATATTCATCTATAGCTTTCTTTTCCTTCAAGCGAGTACACAGTATTTTTCACACTCCATTAGCTAGACATTGTCAAACATCCTAGAATCTTTAAATCTCTTAGCAATGCTAGGTCACTGGAATGCCATGCTGTGATGCTAACTCTTCAACAAAGCTGAAATTAGTTCCTTATTCCCCAGTTTCTCATTTGTAGTACCAGCTCTTTATTCGTGGTTCCCAGTTTCTTATTCAAAGGCCAAAATTATTTAAAAATACATCAATATAAGATTTTTTTTTAAATTTCATCAAATTAATGGATTGAATGTGATAAACATGTAAATTACTAATTATTAATTAAATAATCAAATAAGGAGCTGGGGTTTGATTGACTGTATGTGACAAAATAAATTTCGAGTCACCCTAAGTGACATGGCCCCACAACCATCAGACTGTTCTGAAGGAGCTGGGACATACCACTTGCTGACCCGAAGCTTCGTTCTTGTGCAGTGTGCTGCCAGATACCACGTCCCATCACAATTTCAGATTGTAATTAGAGTTTGAAGAAGGAAGTGGACCCAATACATTTTGGGTCGCCCCAACTGATACATCCTTGCAACCGATGGACTGTTCTGAAGGAACTGACACATGCCATTCACTGACCGAAAGCCTCATTCTTGAGTAGCATACTGCCACCTATTATGTGCCCACCACTTTTCCATGCTGTACATAGAATTTGAATAAGGAACCGGAATTTGACAGACTGTACATGACAAAATTAGTCTTGGGTCACCCCAAGTGACACATCTCCATGACCGCTATTGTACATATTGCTTGAATTAGGAGCTGGGATTTGACAAAATGTAAGTGACAAAATATCTCTGGTCACCCCATGTGATACATCCCTGTGACTGTCAGGCTGTTCTGAAGGAGCTTGAATAAGTCACTCCCTGACCCAAAGCTTCATTCCTGTGCAATATGCTGCCAAATATCACATTCCCACCACACTTCCGTATTGTACATGGAGTTTGATTAAGGAGCTGGAGTTTGACTGGCTGACAAAATATATATGAGGTCCCCCAAGTGATATGTCTCTTGTCATTTTGTAATGAAGAGCTGAGGATATTCCACTCCCAGAGGTGAACCCGTCTCTAGAGGAATGGAACAGAAAGCTACAGGAGCCATAACTGATGGGTGTCCTTGTGGTTTCAAATAAACAGCAGCCAAGGAGGGTTCTTTAATCATTCTAAACAAGCAAACAGTCATCACTGGGGACTCCATATTAAGAAGAATGAACAGAGAAGGGGCACAAGGACAATAAGATAGTGTGCTGTCTTCCTGAAGTGAAGATATGAGATGTAATGGCAGGATAGGCAGGCGTGGCAACTCTCCACTGATAACTACACACATTGGAACCAATGATACAGCATCATGTGAAACTACATATAGAAGACCTCAGGCATCTTTGAACACAATGGAAGAAAAGGAAAATACAAACGATCTTCCTGGGACCTTACTGGCCCAATGAGCAGCAGAAGGCCGAAAATATTGGAGGTGAACTGTTAGCTCTACAACTCTTGAAGATTCTGTTTTTGTGAAACACTGGGCCACATTCCAGTGGGAGAGGGGGCTGTACAAATGGGATGGCCTGCATCTCACAGGTATGGGAACAACCTTCTCAGTTGGAGACTAGCTGTAGCAGTTAGGAGGGCATTAAACTACCATAATTAGGAAGGGTGTTAAGGAGGCAAATTTGCTATCAAGCTCAAGATGTCATGAACTAATTGAACTAATGTGGCAAAAAACGCAGAGAGAAGACATTTTTCAGTTGCTTCTATACCAATGCTAGGAGACTGAGTAACAATAAGAGAAATTAGAAATTCTCATTGCTAAGAATCGTTTTTATAGAATTGCCATTCTGAAACAACATGGGACAATTCACATGACTGGTTACAAATTGTTTAGGAAGAACAGTGTGTGTAAAAGTTGTGAGAGTGGTGGCTCTCTACATTAAAGACACCATTATCTGTTTTAGAGTTAATGATAACTCAGACCCACAGGAACTTGAATGCGTATGGATCAATGCGAAGGATGGGGTCTGGTGGGAGTTGTGATATTTAGCAGCATATTGCATGGGAACAAAGCTTTGGGTCTTGGAGTGACTTATTACAGCACTTTCAGAACAGTCTGATGGACACCGGGATGTGTCACTTGGGGTGACCAGAGACACATTTTCTCATGTCCAGTCAGTCAAAATTTAGTTCCGTATGCAGTCACCATTTACAAAAAAGGAAATGAGATGGGGATATGACATTTGGCAGCATAGTGTGCAGGAACGAAGCTTTGGGTTGGTGAATGCCATGTCCTGATTCCTTCAGAACAGTCTGACAGTCACAGAGACAGGCCATTTTGGGTGATCCGAAACTTACTTTGTCTTGTACAGCCAGTCAAATCCCAGTTCCTAATTCAAATGCTACGTACAATATGGAAGTGGGGTAGGGTGTCATATCTCACAGTATATTGTGCTGGAACTAAGCTTCGGGTCAGTGAGTGGCATGGCTCAGCTGCCGCAGAACAGTTTTATGGTCACAATCCGAGACACATTTTGTCATGCGCAGTCAGTCAAAACCCAGTTTCTTATTCAAACTCTATGTATAATATGGAAAATGGTGGTGGTGTAACGGGTGGTAACATGCTGCTCAGGAACACAGCTTCAGGTTGGTGAATGGCTTGTGTCAGCTCCTTCAGAACAATCCATCAGTTGTTGGGACAGGTCAGTTGGGGTGACCGAGAACTTATTTTGTCATGTACAGCCAATGAAAGTCTACCGCCTTATTCAAACTCCATGTACAATGTGGAAGTGGAGTGGGGGTGTGAATATGGTAGCATATTGTACAACAGTAAAGCTTTGTGTCAGCCAGTTATATGTCCCTGCTCCTTCCGAACAGTCTGTCACACATTTTGTCTCGTGCGGTCAGTGAAAACCCAACTTTACAAAAAGGAAGTAGAGTGGGGGTGCAATATTTGGTGGCATATTGCACAGAAATGAAGTTACAGGTTGGCGAGTGACACGTTCCAGCTCCTCGCAGAATAGTTTGATCACTGGGATGTATCAAATGGGATGACCCGAAACTTATTTGGTCACATACAGTCAATTAAATCTTAGCTACTTATTTATTTAATTAGTAAATAATCATTACAATTTTTATCACATTCAAGCAAATTAAGTGGATGAAATTTCAAAAAAATTTAATCTTACATTGATGTATTTTTAAATAATATTTTGGCCTTTGAATAAGGAACTGGGAGCCATGAAT